TGAAGGGAGTCGGTGAAAATGAGGAGTGGAGTGAAAAGTCGGGTTTGGTTTGGTTTTAAGTTTTTTTTTTTTAATATGAAGGGCGGGTCGGGTCGGGTCGGGTTTTTTTGGTTTAACCCGCAACCCGACCCAACCCGTCGCCTTCAACGCCCCAAACCCGAACCCAACCAAAAAATTGAAAAAAATCGACCCAACTCGGTCGGTTTGGGTTGGGTCGGGCGGGTTGGGCGGTTTTTTGCCCACCCCTACTAGTAACAGACTCATTTTTTGACATAAAGTTCCACATATGTACAATTCTACTGATTTAGTTGATGGTTTGAATGTAGTTAAGGGTGTTGATTCTAGCCAATATCCTTCATTTGATACAATTAGTTGTGATTCTGTTAAGAACTTGTTTCAGCCTTGTTTGATGGTTATTAGATCACTTTTACTCTTAGTTGGGGGTAACAGAGGTGGGGAACACTTCCAATTGAATTTTTTTTTTATAAAGAAGTTCGTTTGTGTTTTGAAGAGTTCAAATTTATTCCTTGTAGTTGAATTTATTTCCATGTAGAGAATTTCTTTTGAAATTTTGTTCATTATAGGGGAATTCGTGTCAATGTGGAGACTGTTGGGTGTGACCCGAATTCTTTGTTGAAAATAATTGAGAGTTCTAATTAAAGTGCGCACTAAAAGGAATTCTATTTGAAATGCTATTGTGGAATCCATTCTAGCTTACTTAGCGAATTCTAGTTGAAGTTCTACTTGAAAAGTCCAATTGGAAGTTGAATTTTTTGTTGAACTTCAAGAGAACATTAGGACGAAGAAAATCAAGTTTTTTGAAGTAAAGCATCGCAGCAATTTTTTGCCACCTATCTATTTTACTCTGCACGATTTTTTTGTTTGTTCTTTACTTCATTTTGAACTCCATTTTTGCATTCTACCTCAATCACAATTCTACTTCAGGGTTTGGATGTCTCCTATTTGTTCTCTATATATAATTGGCTCTTCATTATGATTTAATAGAAGTTAGACGAATCATAAATACAAAATTTTTGTATTATTTCTCCATATTATAATAAAATCTTAATTCTCTACAAATTATTTTGTTTTGTGTTCATGTGATTAATTATTTCATATTGTGACTATAATATCTTATTTTCTCCAAGAATTTGGAATTGGATTACTCGGGTATGATCTTTCATTTCACAACAATTTTGAAAAAGGTGAATTTGAGGCATGAACAACACTTCCTCTAACATGTTTGAGCACCTATGCAAGGTGAAGATGCCAAGTATATCAACACATTCTCTTATTGCTACTTTCTTCTTCTTTCTTTTAATGGTAGGCTAGGTTTCGTCGAAATAAACTATATCGAGAAAAAAAATTATGCTCGTCATAAAACAATATAGTCATAGTCATGAGACGTGGCATAGGATGTTGCCATAACATATGATGGAGCAAAGGAATATAAGCACTGCCAAAAGGTTTACATCAGATAATTTTCTACTTTATGAAGGCACAACTTGTGCGGCCCTATTAAATTAACTCCATATTTACTTATATACACACATATGGTCCCCTGGACTGCATCTCCTCCTGTGACTATGACTTTAATGGCAAAGAAGGGTTTTGCACGAGTGAAGGGCTGTTTTGATGTGGATTTTTAAGGCATGTTCAATGGGAAATGGTCCCACTTTACCGAAAGAGTGCTGTCTATCAAATGGGTACTTCATTAAAACACAAAACTAAGAAATTATTATGTATCACAAAACCCCAAGAAGAGAGAGAGAGAGAGAGAGAGAGAGAGAGAGAATGTAGATAATGACTTGTCTTGAAATATGGCAAAGAATTAGAGCTTGAATTATCATAATTAAGTTTAGATGCAAAATAAGCAGTTTAGAGTTGTGTTGTATGAGAATAATTGCAAAACAAGTCAAGCATGCAACAATTCAGCAGACTGCTGAGAACATTGACTAAACATGTGCACATCATTAAATTGATATTTCCGCTTACACTTTTCCTTTTGGTCGGGGTGCGGCCGAATATATATTTTCCTCGACTTATTGGCACAAAATATTCATACGTTTGGTCTTTAGTGTGCAAAATGTCCTTATGTTTCAATTTTTTGTATTTTCACCCCTATTTCCACATTTCATCATAGATAACATCATTTTTATCAATTTTTACTCAATTTCTCAATTAAAAAACGTAAAATAACAAATATATCCTCTTATTTAAATAAGACAAAAAGAAAAGAATTAACTGCAACCATACCTCCAAATATTTTTAATAAATGCAAATAAATCTCAAATAAATTATTAAAAAATTCAAAAAAAAAAAATTGGCTCTCTCTCCCTCATTTCTCCACCACCACCACCGCCATGGAAGCTCCACCAATTCCTCCCAAATCCACTGTGTTGCCACAGCCAAAACCATCGGAATCTCACCCTTCCATCGACACCAATACTCCCTCAATTCATCACAACCAAACAATTACACAAACATCCACAAATTCAACTCAAGATATCCCCAAATACACCAAGAACCGCACGACTTTTTCACCAATTCCAGCCATTTCGTCAATACCCATGGTCATCCACTATTACCAGTCAATCCACCTCATCTAGTCATTCATACTCATGAAGAAACATCACAAAAAAAGTACAATATGTTGATATGCATTGGAATTCCCTCTTGTCGTGCGCAGAAAATGTGACCAGTGTGCCTCTTTTAATTGGTGGTGGCAATACTGTGGATTTGGAAGGAATTGGTGGCGACTCAATGGTGGTGGTGGTGGTGGTGGAGAGAAAGAGAAGGGGAGAGAGAGAGAGAGAGAGAGAGAGCGAGCGAGCGAGCGAGCGAACCAACTTTTTAATAATTTATTTGGAATTTGTACTATTTAAAAAAGTTTGGGAGTATGGTTGCAATTAATTCTTTATTTTTTATTTTTATTTTTTGTTCTTATTTAAATATGAGGGTATTTTTATCATTTTATATTTTTTAATTGAGAAATTGTGTAAAAATTGATAAAAAATTGAAACGTATGAACATTTTGCACACTAAAGACCGAACGTATGAACATTTTGTGCCAATAAACCTATTTTCCTCTCTATAAAGGGTACAAGGAAGAACCTACTTTGTGTGTTATTGTAGAGAAACGGAGAGCCCTGAGTCCTCCTTTGGTATAGTGAGTCCTCCTTTGATATGGTGCAATATTATTGTGGCACTACCTGAACGTAACTCTTGCATTAATAGCGAACCACATTAAGAGTTTGTTTGGGAGGGATTAAAATTAGATTAAAATTGATAATATATACGTTATTGTTGACTTTTATTAGACGAGTGTGACCCAATAACGGCCATATTTTCAATTTTAATTGGATTTTAATCCCTCCCGAACATGGCCTAAATCGTGTCTCTATTATATTCTGCTGTAAATTGGATATACTGTATTACAGTTACAATTAAGGAAACGGTGTAAAAATTTCAAATGTAATATTACCCTCTTAACATATGCAGGACCACCGGCAAACACTGTGTGTGCGTGTGTATGTATGTGTGTGTGTATATATATATATATATATATATATAGAGAGAGAGAGAGAGAGAGAGAGCAACAAGTACTAGAATATGGTCCAAACTCTTGGAGTGGAGGAGACCCCCACCATTGCAACTCAGTCATATCCCTCTCAGTCCATTGATTAATACAGATTTATCATGTAAACTGCATTCAAGAGGGACAAGAGCAAGAGGTACAAGTCAGTCCAACCTCACCCTTAATAGAATATTAGAGGTTAAATATTAATGTCAGACAAATTAATCCGAGTTTTATTGTGTTACAATCAAATCGTCTTATTATCGATTATCGTTTCCTAAAATGGTCAAAAATGTTCGCATAAGATTAGTACATCTTCAACAACTAATTAATTTCATGTGATATTGAATATCTGATAGCATTGTAAATTAATATGATTCTCAAATAGTGATAGTTATTATAGGACAATATATAAATCATTATTGACTGAGTTAGAATGCAAATATAGTGAGTTAAATTTCTTAAATTCTAATAATCAATTGCAAAAACAGTTAACTACATGAAAGTAACTAGTTCGACCATAAAATCACATAATCAGTGGGTAACGCAAAATTAAACTTACCAATTAAAAGCAATAAGTTACTTTTTAATTGTTCTAGATGTTTAGTCAATCAAGTCAATTTTATCATACGTTGAGTTACCACAATAATAAATAAAGCAATAAATAATACAAGATTTGTTGTTGGAAAAAAATCCTTAATTGGGTAAAAACTTCGGGACCAAATCAATAACTTCACTATAGACAATAAGAACTTACAGTATGATCCAATCTAGAAAATTCACTAAACTCAGTAATTTAATTCCCGCAATCTTCATGACCCGCTAAAACATGCTTCGCTCACACCTGCTCCCGATTTTATGAAATTGTCTATCTCTTGTAGATCACCAATAACACATTGTTCTTGCGCTATCGGGCACCAAAGATATTACATGAAAAAAAAGGAAGATCTAGCCTTCAAAGAGGATAGCGTGAGCGTCCAATCCTCAAAAGAATAAATCAGTTATATAGCATTTGTTTGTTTTCTATTATTTTCAAAATACAATTTTCTCTCTCTTATTTTTAATCAAACATTTTTCAATAAAATAATATTATACGCAAATTCATATTTTTTTATCACACATTTTTATCAAATCACTATTTCAAAATTTATTTTTGGAAAAAAAAATTGGGACTCAAACGGGCTCATAATAACAGTATTATCTATAAACATGGAAGTGCATACCAAAAGCCTTATATATGAACATCAAAATGTGGTGCCTTGTTAGGCTCTATTCTAGGTCAATTCTATAGGTCCCACCATATCCCTCCTCAAAGATACTCCATATACAGGACTTCTCCCTCCCTTGACATTTCTCTTGTTTCCCTTAACCTCTTCTCACTGCACTTTCTTTCTCATTCTCCAAAAGGGTGGTCACTACTTTCATGGAGAAGACAGATCAGAGAGAAACTCGAGACTTCATGAACGTTGAATCGTTCTCTCAGTTGCCATTCATTCGTCCAGCACCGGTTAAAGAAAAGGCCATTAGGCTATTTGCATTTCTTAAACCTCCTCCACTGAGTATTTCTACTGATCCTCGTGAAGAACCGGAGCTGTTTCCGGATACTAGTATTCGTGAAGAGATCAAAGGCAACGAGAATAATGGCGAAAGCAGCCGGAAATTCGAATGCCATTACTGTTGCAGAAACTTCCCTACTTCACAAGCCCTTGGAGGTCATCAAAATGCACACAAGAGAGAGCGTCAACATGCTAAAAGGCTGCACCTTCATTCTGCTATGGTGCACAGTGCTGTATCTGATCACCCTCACCTCTATGGTGTAATGAATTATCCCCTTGGTTCAGCCCCAGCACCAGCTTATAATTCATGGGCCAATTACAACAGTAACAGTTCTTACGGTGCTACAAATAACGGGTTTTATGGTCACTATGGATCTAGTTACTCTCGACCACCTATTAATGGTAGTCCCTTGGCGTTATGGCGAACCCCCTCGGTCCACACTTCCACAGCCTTTAGACGCGACCATTCATCAACTCATCAGCTGCCGTTGTTCTCTAACCCCGATTTGAAGTTACCATCAATCAGCGGCTATGAATCTCAAAGCAGGTTTGGGTATGAATCAAAGCCAAGCGTGCAAGATCATGTAAGTTTGGATTTACACCTTTAACATTCCTTCAGGAACAGCATATAACATTCTATGAGGCAGACTATGATTTTTATTCGACTGAGGTATTTTTTATAATTAATATATAACCGATCTGTTTCTTAATCTCCCAAAAGAAAAAAAAAAAAAACAGAAAATCTTACTTCATAGTATCAGTTAGCATGTAAATGAAATCGACTTCAATTAGTATGGTTCGTGTTATATCAAGAAGCTTCTGCCTTGTGCAATTTGACTCTTCACAAATTGTTCATTTTTATTTTAGTTAATTTCCACTTCTTTTTCTCTTCTACGTTCTAAATAATCTTACTGTTTTTTTTTGGGTTTGAGCATGTTCTGATACACAGTATTCGACCCTATAATATATCTCTTTCCATAATCCAATCCAATAAGTTGCTCCAATGTATACTGGATTTCTGATTATGTAGTAAGTCTCTTCAGAAGAACAGCTAGCATTTCTTCAAATTTTGAGAGATGAAAATGGGGGATGGGGACAGATTTTTGTTAATTGCATGCATATGTAACTATCAAACTTTAAATGATGTGGAACATCTACCTTTAAGAATATTTGAAGTGGGAAGTTCTCTCGACACAAATCGAGGCTCATCATCCAACAAAGGTGGCATGTTTAAGTCCACTTGCTGAAAGAAACTGAAATGATGATACAATGGTCACCACTTGCACCATTACTCTGCAACTCATTCAGGTTAGTGTCTTTGGGGACCCCATTCATGGTTGGATTTGAAAAATCAGATCATCTCATGAAAATTTTCGTCTAGAGGAGTATGAATAACCTTTTCGAGACAAACTTCTTAGAATTACAAAATCTCCATTGCGAAAGGTATGTTGGGGGACTCAAGCACACTAAGGTACATCTTTATTTTCGTAAGTGTTGAATTGATTTTAATTGCTAGCTCAAGGTATTTTTACCCATCAAAATTTGAATCCCACCAATAATTACACTCCCCATTAACTTATAGGCAAACATATTTAATGAATAATCTTGACATGATAACACATCAAAAGAAGTAATTAGCTTAATCATTTTTCTTAATCACCAAGAAGAGAACAAATTTTACTTTCCCAGGAAAAGACTCAACACATTATTGGTTGAAAATATTGACGGAAACCTAGTTTTCTAAGAACTGCCAATCATGTGATACCTTTTACTATTGTTACCCAGTGAACCTAAGAATTAGTTGTACCATATAGATGTTAAATGCTAGTCACCTCAATCTATTCCTATAAATTTATTACAACACAAATGTGGGTACGAAGTCAAAAATTTACTTTGATAACTTAAATATAAGGGATAATTCCTTTTAGTGAATCATAATCCTTTCTTAGCTAGATGTTGTTTGTAAATGCACAAAGCGATTTCTTTATCGTAGTAATTAAAACTTATTGAAACCTACCCGAATTTCAAATAGAAAGTTGTACTAAACTTATACCAAATCAATGAAATGCATATTATCGATGTAAGAATTGAATTATTTGTCCTTAAAACTAATTTGCTTTGCATAGGTACCTACGGTGAATGAAAATCATCTTCCAAGGTACAACGATCAATCTCTGATTGTAGTACTTCAAATCACGAAAAAAGTCGAGCCGAACGAAGTTTCAAATCCTTTTTATATTAAAAAAGAACAAGTTTTGATGCAGAATTTTGACAAGATTATAATGTTATGTAATATGCTTTGATTGCATAAAACCGGAGTGAATGAAACCAACACATGTTTTACGAAGAGTTGAGGAGATGCACTCGAAGTAACACAATCCAAAAATCAACATGTTCCACGAAGAGTTGCACAGGCTGATATGTCGCTCACTCACTGCTCGATTACCTCTCGAGCGTGCATTTCGGAGACTCACAGCTTGCTTGGCGCTGGCTGCTGCTCGAGCGATAGTTTTATATATTGACTTTTTTTTAACATTATTCCATTCACTAATTTCTCATTCATCCGGAAATAATTCTTGATGTTCAAATACACCAAACTCATTTGCTCGACGAGTAAAAGATAACGGCCCATTTCTCGCTCAATTCGAACAGCGAAACTCATCCAAATATTTGGTTAACGTCTGATAAAAATCAAATTTCCTTAACTATTTTCCAATACACATCTTGAAATGTAATTCGAGCATACTCGTTTCACTATTTGACTCTACTGGGATTTTCTTGGTGACCATTCTTCTACTATTGAAGTTGTTTAGTAAATTGACGTAATCACGTGTTCATAACATTTCGGTCAAATGGAGATAATGTCTGATTACATGTCGGAGCCCCATAGCCTGCGATGAAATCATATATGATCAACGAATCGTCTACTAGCTATATACCAGTTACGTGGAGGACCATGAGTGAGACCATTGATTTCCCTCTTTGCTTTAACACTCGTGAGAGCAATTCCATAAAATTCTGATGTACTGTATTAGGAAAACTAATTTTTACCGTTTAGATCTCATCATTCACTTTATATATTATTGGAGACATCGAAAGGGCAATTCTGAGGAAGAAGTATTCATTGAAATTTAGGACAAGACTGATGATGTGTACTTTTAAGGACACCAAACTCTGCAGACAATAATTAATGCATGTACATGTGACATGTCGTTTTCTTTCCTTTCTTCTGGTTCATGGAAGAAATTATGGCACGCTGCTAAACATTTACTTATAAGTAAATTAGTAATTTTTTAAAGGATAATTAGGACACAAAATCATTACCATTCATTATCTTTTATTTTTGACACATTCACCCTTATTTTCACTTTTTCATTACGAAAAATGTTATTTTTATCAATTTTCTCAATTAAAAGTTGTGAAATGACAAAAATAAATAAATAAATAATAATAATAATAATAATAATAAAAATAATTTCAAACATAATTCCAATTTTTTTTTTTTGCAAACGAATCCTACATAAATTATTAAAAGGGTAATTAGCACATAATGTACATATCTGTCATTATTATTGTGAAAAATGTCCATACTTTTATTTTTATTTTTTTATATTTTCATCATTAATTACACATTCGATTCCGCAAATCATTATTCTATTTTCATCCAATTTTTCAATAAAAGCTACAAAATGACGAATATACCATTATATTTAAATTTTAAAAAAATACACAATTTTTTTTTAATTTCTAATTTTTTAATAATTTATTTGGGAATCGTTTGCACATTTTTTTAAAAAAAATTAATTTCGAATTTTTTTTATAATTTATTTGGGACTCGTTAGCACTTTTTTTTTTAATTTCTAATTTTTTCATAATTTATTTGAGAATTGTTTGAAATTTTTTTAAAAAATATTGGGACTATGGTTGCAATTAATTTTTTGTTTATATATATATGAGGGTATATTCATTATCTCATAGTTTTTTATTGAGAAATTGGATAAAAATGGATTGAAATGATAGTTTGAGCAATCAGATGTTTAATTAAGGGTGAAAATGTCAACAAAAAAAATGAAAGGTATGAACTTTTCCCAATAAAAGTGAAAGATATGGGTATTATGCGTTGATTACCCTTTTAATAATTTATTTGGGACTCGTCTGCACTTTTTTAAAAAATTTGGGACTATGATTGCAATTAATTTTTTCTCTTTCTTTTTGTTTCATTTAAACAAAAAAGTATATTCGTCATTTCACAACTTTTAATTGAGAAAATTGAAAGTGACATTTTGCGTAATAATTGTGATAATGTCAAAAAATGAAAGGTAAATATGTTTTCATGATAATAGTGAAAGGTAAGAACATTATGGGCTAGTTACCCAATTTTTAAGATAAATAATTGATGATCGATCAAAATTCAGTGTTAAAATAAATAACTCATCCAACTTGTTAACATAAACCATTTGTCTTTTGAACAGCTGAACTTGCAAAAACGAGTGTTAAATACAGTTTCTTGCCACAACCGCAAGGGACAGGGACTTTTGGCTTCAAAATGAAAATTATTTGTATAAAATTTATGTTTAGCTTGGTGTCCAACACGTGATCATATTTATGAATAACTACAACGATTCTTCGAGAAAAGAAAGGCAATACACAGGATGCAGAGTCAAAAAATAACGTTATGATGGGCTAAAATTTAAAAAAATTCGAATGAACTCGCGCCATAAGAGGCTAAACTCATGATATTCACGACAAATAGTGTACCATACTTAATGAATTAAAAGAAATCTAAATTTCTCATCCTAAGATGTCATACTCGATCTTTTTATATTTCTTTACTAAATAGAAAATCAACGCATACGTTAAAAAATATAAATTGACCAAATCATGATCAGAATAAGCAAATGATACATATCCACCAATAAAAAATTAAGGAATTATTTAATCAATATTATTCTAAATAACTTTGACAATCATATTTTTCAAACAACTGAAATGTTTGGCCGAAACACTCAATCAATAATATATCAATATATGTTATTGTCTCAAAATACTATTTGGTGTGGATATTAATATTCTATGTCACTTCATTTCATAGTAAGTAAGGAATCACTTCCAAAGTGAAAAAAAAAAAATCATAGAGAATTATGAGGGTTCAAGGAAATTATATTTAATTCAAAATCATGTTTGGCTCAGTTTCAAAAATATACTTATATATAGATTAATTTATAAATAAATAAGTTATGAAAACACACGTAGAATTAAAATTTTAATTACTTTTAAGCTTAGCAAAACATATAGTGTCTCTAATTATTAAAATAAGTAATTTATTTTTATTATCAATTATAGAATTTACTTAATTATCATAAGTAAATTTAGTCAACCGTGCATTAAATAAAATGCTTAAATTGACAAAAAGATATTCACGTTTCATGAATATCATAAAAAGAAGGGTAATTGACGCAAAACGTCCATATCTTTGAAGGTTTTTGTGAAAAATGTCTCGACCTTTCTTTTTTGGCGCAGAACGTCCCTACCTTTTACATTTTTTTGTGTTGAAGATCATTTTCACCAATTTTTAACATAAAATGATCAATATACCCTCATATATAAATAAAACAAAAAATAAAAATAAAAAACAAATTGCAATCTGCTTCTAAACTTTTTTAAAAATGCAAATCAGTCCAAAAAGTTGCGATTTTTTGCATTTTTTTTCCAAATTTCGGCAGCCTCCAGCCAGCCAAGCTGCCGGAATTTGAAGCCATGTTACCCTCTATACATCGCTACAAACAATCGACCCTAAGTCCAGCAAGTTTGGCCAGAATTTCAACTAAAAACCAACCATTCACGCACCAAAAAACTATCGGCACAACCCATTCTGGCGACAACCAAGCCATGCCCAACATACTGGTCGACTTTACTCATAGGGATGCACCTATTCATGATCTTCAAACATCAAAAAATGCAACAAATCAACACCTACAATCTGCCTTTTCGAACATAGCAAAAATACAGATTTCAAGTCCTTTTTCCGACGTCGTTGGTAGGTCCCACGATCGTGGACCACCCACTCTGTACCCTCTCACTCTGGCACATCTAATGCAAGCATGGGTAACCACCAATAGGGGTGGGCAAAACCCGACCAAAACCGCCCAAACCGATCCAACCCCGATCGGGTTGGGTCGATTCTTTTGTTGTTTTTACACGGGTTAGGTGGGTTGGCTGTATATGTATGTCGGGTCGGGTTATGTGTTAATTCAAGAAAATCGAATAAACCTGCCCAACATAACACGCCACTTTAAAAAAAAAAATAAAAGAAATAAAATACCTAGAAAAGTAAAAGAAACTTAAAAAGTATGAGTACATAGTGTAACTGTAATTACCTTGATGTATTTTAGATGAAGAATTTACTATTCTTCCCACAAGAAGTGTAGTATAAATTTTTCCCGTTATGTTAAATGCACTTTGTTCTTTGTAAGCTCGATTAATGAGGATTGAATAAGATTATAGATAATTTTATTTATTTATTTACTTACTATTTAATCTTGTCTATTCGAATTTAGTATAATAAAAAATTGGATGACTTTAATTTTTGTTGATAAGTCGTCCCAAACCGACCCACCCAACCCAACCCGACCAATACTTGATTGGGTTGGGTTGGGTTGGGTTGTGTTAAATTTTGATCAAACCGATCATGTTGGGGTGGGTTTGGGTTGAGGCAAAAACCGACCAAACCCAACACAACTCATGTTCACCCCTAACCACCAATTTGGTCTTTATTCGACGAATCAAACTGAGGCAATTCGTGCTCATTGCGTCTCCGACGATCCTCAATCAATTGATGAATCTCCACTGTTGCATTGACTAATTCTACCAAGAAATCTTCAATTCATACTGGAACGACCATGGGTAATGATTTAATTGCACCAAATCACCATTTGAATGAGCCAATTTCTAATCCTATGCCAAGAATGGTACATGCAAGCGAACAACCTGATTTTAATTCAATTGATGGCTCCATTGTGTTTCAACATACAAATCAACTTGGGGGGAGATGGGGGGGGGAATGAAATTCAGGTTCAAAAAACACTTGGTAATCACTCAATTGCAAGGAGCTTCGACGCCTACTTCATTGCAGAAATTCCAACCTTCTAACCCAAATCTGGCATTTGGGTTCTTCATTCCTGGTCCCCGATTGTAGATACATATGAATTTTTTGTTGATAATTGTATTCCAGAATCTATATGAGCAAGGCAAACAAGAAGAAGAAAAACACAATAAATATTGACAAAACGACCCCCATTTTGATCCTCTGTGAAGAATAGGGGTGGGCGCGGGTTGGTTCGGTTTTGTTCGGTTCCATAAATTTTCGGGTATTTAGTAAATGGAACCGTCGGTTCCGAATATAATTTTGGAACCATTCGGGTTCGATTCGGTTCCGTACTATAATTAAATTTTTTAACATTTAAAATAATACTACATAAATACATCGGAAGTAGATACTAATACTAATAACAAAAAGTAGATACAAATATCAAGTTCAATCTTAATTTTTACAAATTAATGTAATCTAAATTAATAACATATAAATAATAAGTTGTCAAATACAAATATCAAAAAGTAAATATTACTAGTAAAACTTCGATAATTCATATCAATAATTCATTTACTTCAAATCTTCAAGTCTACATAAAAATGAAATATAAATTAGAATCATAAAGATAAAATATTTTAAAATATTGATAGTACTTACCAACTATTTAATGTAATCATCAGTTGCTTAATTTTTCATACTAACTAATAAGAAATTATACAAGAATAAATTGAAAAAAATACAATTAACAAACATAAATAAACTCTAAATTGTTCAACTAAGAAGATTTAATAAAAAAATTATTAATTTGTTTAGAAAAAATAAAAGAAATTGATTTATCCAATATAAAAAAAATTCGGTTCTTATTCGATTCTTCGGTTCTTGGTCTAAAACTGAGAACCGAACCGAACTATTCGGTTCTCGATTCGGATACCTGTTCGGGTATTTCATTTAAGAAAAATCGCTCGATTTGGTTCGGTTCCGATTCGATTCGATTAGGACATTTTGTCCAACCCTAGTTAAGAACTGGAGTTCTCAACAAGAGCAACAAATACTAATACTGATATTCAAAGTTATACACCTGGCAGTTGGAGAATTAAAGATTCTTTCTTTAGAGTAGATAATTTGAGATAGATTTTCTAGAACTCCTAGGTGGACTTACTGTAGTGTTTCTTGTTTAGTCACATTTTTTGTTATTTTTAATATTTTTATAAGTTTTGGACTTATTTGCATCTTTAAAAAAAAAGTTTAGGAGCGGATTGCAATTTATTCTTTATTTTTCTTTTTTGTTTTATTTATATATAAGGATATATGAGTCATTTTATGTTAAAAATTGATGAAAAAGACTTTCAGCGCAAAGAATGTGAAAGGTAGGGACGTTTTGCACCAAAAAACGAAAGGTATGGACGTTTTCCACAAAAACCTTCAAAGGCATGGACGTTTTGCGCCAATTACCCTAAAAAAAATATTTAATAATTATAGCCTCTCTAACAAAATTTAGATAATTGAGCATTGGACTTGGATTGTGATTCAAGTTAGAATTGGGCTAACACAAATCTTTTGATCAAAATTGAAAATTTTATTTTAAATTTTTCATATGGGCTGGGGAGGCAAGAGCCCAACCTAGCCCCCCACTACCTCCGCACCTAACATTACATGTATAAAAATAGAGAAAGAATATCAAAACATCTATTATACAATTTTTGAGTCAACTCGACTATTTTCATTAAGAACAAAGGGACAAAAATTGAAATTGCCTTAATCTTATATTCTTGGTACAATTGTTCTAAAAACAAGGTTTCGATATGTAAATCGTACGAATTTCAATCTAGCTGACCAAAAAGAATTCTTTTTTTGTCAAAATGACCACTGATTCCGTCCAGTTGGCTATCAAAATAACCACGAAAACTGTCTGAAAGGATTACTAGAGCACCAAAACACTGGTATGAGGTTGATTGTGTCAAAAATGAAGGAGTAGATCCTGGTTTAGCGCAAGGGCCTTAGATGAGGTGCAAGTTGTGGAAATAACTCTAATTTTGATGGTACATTACCTCTGGACTCTTTTTGTCTGGCCCTAGATAGTGCTAGACCAGTCTCCGAGGCTCCAAAAGCCCATCCATATTTTGATGGTACATTACCTCTGGACTCTTTTTGTCTGGCCCTAGATAGTGCTAGACCAGTCTCCGAGGCTCCAAAAGCCCATCCATTTGCAGGCCCAAATGAACGTATAAAACTGAATTGATAGGCCCAATAAAGTAAGAAACAGCCCATTCCCATTCAAAACCCTAACTACCAAGCTCCCATATAAATTCTCCTCCTCCCATTAGGGTTTCATTTCGTCTCGTCACACGCTTCACACACAAGCGCAGAGCGATCTAAAACCACCAAAAATGCCGGCGGGACATGGTTTGAGATCACGCACTAGGGATTTGTTTTCTCGTCCTTTCAGGAAGAAGGGACCTACCCCGCTCTCAATCTACCTCCGTACCTACAAGATCGGCGACTATGTCGATGTCAAGGTGAACGGGTCGATCCACAAAGGCATGCCGCACAAATTCTATCATGGCCGCACTGGTCGCGTCTGGAATGTTACCAAACGCGCAATTGGCGTCGAAGTCAACAAGCAGGTTCAAAAGATAAACCTTAACGCATCTCGTGTTTCTATTTAATATCTCAATGCCCATGTGCGTTTTCTTTGTTAATTTCTGAGAGACTGATAGAAATGTTTGCAGCAGCGAGCTTTCCAGTAATGATCTTATAAATGTGTTCATTGATGTGGTGGATTATATATATTCATATATGTATGTATATATCTAGTTCTATAGTGTATTGGATTTTACTCTGTTTTTTTAATTTTATCTGAGAGCAAAGTCCCTTTCACTTGGGAAAAATTTCTCTTACGTATTTTTTGTACTTTGCTTTAGTAATTTATGCACATGTATACACGAATATAAACGACTTATGTATCTAATTGTTGCTTCTTTATTCGATGTTGGTTTTTTTTGAAGTAGTGAATTCATTAACTATTCTTAAACATATTATGAGAGATCATCAATTTGAAAATATTGATTGTGTGTATTTTGAGCCATATATACTGGCTTTAAATTGCTGTGTGACAGTTGATGCATCCACTGTTTAGTTTAATCGTGAAAGTTCAATTAGCCTCACAAAATTATCAGCTGGATAACTTCGTAAGAAAATATGCTAGACAAGTGCAGGATATTCAAGTTGCTTGTAACAAAAATCATAGTGGGGAATTGAAATGTTTGGTTCAATTACCTTCTGTTTGAAGTACAACCTTATTCTCCCCAAAGCCTGTTTCCAGACGAGAGTGGAATTAAGCTCTTTCTTGATCGGTTTATAACTTATGTAATTTTATCTTAAAAGTTTATCTTTAATGACTTGGAATCTTTTTGCTTTGATATTCATTCCTTTACCACTTGTTTGGTATGTTGGATTCTACTAGAATAAATAAAAATCAGTTAAAGACTTGTTTATAACAATGTGCAGTCCAGTCTACTGTGCCCATTAGAGCTTTAATTTGTATTTATGCATGCTGGTGCTTGCTAGTTTGTATGCTTAGTACTTGTTACTCTGATTTGTTTAGCTCTCAATTGTTACATTGTTGTGCCTTTAAAAAGTGGAGAATATACATGATGCAGGTAGGCAACAGAATCATAAGAAAGAGGATCCATGTACGAGTGGAGCATGTGCAGCCATCGAGGTGTCACGAGGAATTTCTGCAAAGAGTCAAGACGAACAACAAACTTAAGGCAGAGGCTAATGCAAGAGGTGAAGTTATTAGTACCAAGAGGCAGCCAAAGGGACCCAAACCTGGATTCATGGTTGAAGGTGCAACTTTGGAGACAGTTACTCCTATTCCATATGATGTGGTTAACGATCTGAAGGGTGGTTATTAAATTAGACTGTCGTTTATCATTGTCCTTTCTGGCTGTTGTGATCTGATGTGAACCTTTCATGACTGAATTAGCTAATTTGTTTTCTGCACTTATCAATGCACTTTATTAAGATTTTGTTCTACAATACAAGTAGAGGATTCTGTTTTGGTAAAATTTTGAGTGAATGAATTTATATGGTTCAATTTAATAATGGAATATGCTTTTTCGTGTGGATTGGGTGCGACTTTCTCCTGTGCTGTCTTCTAGCAGCAACTCGCGATTCAAGATTATTTAGTGGTGAACAATTCATTTTGTGTAAAATTCAGTTTTTTGGATATTTTTGTTTCCTTACTTCATAGACGTATATTCTGGTTACTATTAATGATGGTTAATTTGTGAACTGTTTGGTCAACGGGAGAGAAAATAAACAAGTGTTTGATAGGTTAATTAGTTTGTGAAAGATATTTTGGATGCCATTTTATCTTTTCACTCTTCCCCCCAATTCTATTTCCCATTTCCGACTTCAAATGCCTTGGTAACTTGACAGTGTAAGAATGTCGGCTCTACAGAGGAATTCCATTACTCGTTCTAATTTTTCTGTAGATGCTGGCTTTGTCCCATATCATCATCTTAAACAATAGAGGTGCTTATATTTTTGGCAATTCTTGTGAAGAGAAAATACTTAGGATTTGTAGTTAAGGTGTGCAGAGATTATCAAATGGAGTTGAGAATGAAGATAATGTCAGCAAATATCTTTTTATTGATCATTCTTGCAGTCTTTTTACCAAGATTTTCCAATAAATGAGCCATGGGGATTGGGATATATAAATCCTCACAGCATTTTAAATTTGTATCAAGATTGAAACATAAGGTGGATTAGTTTTCAATATGTTGTCTACTACCAAAGTCTCACAGTGTGAAAAGTTATTTTATTCAGTTTGACCCACCCAATGTTCATTACAGGGAAAATGCACCCACCAAATTAGTGCATGGGCTAAATAGCACAAAACGTCCCTACCTTTGGGGTGGATTTCGAAAACTGTCCCTACCTTTCATTTATTAGCATTTATACCTCTACCTTGAACTTTTTGTGCGCTGAACGTCATTTTCACAATTTTTTGAGGATTTTACCCTCCATTTAATTGAAACAAAAAGAAAAGAAAAGAAAAGAGAATTAAAGAATTAATTGCAACGATAACCCCAAATTTTTAAAACCTACTTTTGAGCCACAAATACTAATTTTTTGCCCCCAACCAGCCGCCAACTTCGGAGCTATTTTCAGCCACCTTCCGACCACCAAAACCACTGGATATTGGCATCAATGGAAAACTCTTAACCTCCTCTACAATCACCACCCAACAACTCCCCAAAACACCAAATAATCTTGCCGAAATCAACTTTCAAATTCTATCACTCGAAAATCTGAAAACTGCTGGAATCTTCTCCTCCTGCCACCACATTTGATGGCCAAAAAAGCTAGCCAACCACCACCAAAACCACCGAACATTAACACCACTAGAAAGTCCTCACTAGGCCCTTCAATTATCACCCAATATCATGCCTTGAACAGCCTTGAAATCGTCGAAAATTTGGACAAAAACTGCATGCTCATTTTGCTAAAACCGGCTGACAACTCCTTTTTCGGCGACACCCATGCAAAACCCAACATTCCAATTGATTCTCCATCTCAAGACGCCCCTGTCCATTGTCCCCAACCGTCCCCTATTGCTCAGAATCAACACCAGCAGGTGGTAGCTTCGAACACAGTGAAAACGCAACTTTCAGACGGATTTTCTGGCACCGGTGGTACGAATGACGATCGAGAACCACCACCACTAGCACCTACTCCTCAAGGCGCATCCAATGAGCTTAAGGGTCTTCCTCAATTTGGCCAGGAAACGACTGTTCGTTCAGAAACAGGTTTAGCGCGCGGTGTTGACTCCATTTTGATTTCTTCACTCACTACCCCAATCAACAAATTGCAACCACCAACATTCAATTAAAGTTGCTAATACTATGGGCAATGGATCAATTGATTCAATTCGTTAGCCAATTAAAAGAATTTTGGATTTGGCCAAATTTTTTGGCCACCAACAGTTGGAAGTGATTGTGGATGAGAAAATTAATATCTTGTGTTTGAAAAGTAAGTTTTAAAAATCCGGGATTATAGTTACAATTAATTCTTTAGTTTTTCTTTTCTTTTTGTTGTACTTGAATGTGGTGTAAAATCGTCAAAAAGAAGTGAAAAGGACGTTCGGCGCTCAGAAACGTTGAAGGTAAGGACGTCCTACGCATGAAATTAAAGGTAGGAACGGTTTCCGAAATCCACCCCAAAGGTAGGGACGTTTTGTGTTAATTAGCCTTAGTGCATGTATTTTCTCTACTTGATCTAAATTTGTTTTTAGAGAGAGAGAGAGGAACGTATTTTATCAATATTTCTCGTGAAATTCTTGAGCAAAATACAATGACAAACGTTGAGGTATTTCAGCTTTTCCCATATTTTCACAAAAATAAAATACATCTTTTTTAATGCAAAAGTAAATGTACCCTTTTATCTTTTATTACACCAAAATAAAATTTTATCGTAATTTAAACGGAATACAATATTTAGATTAAAGAAAGTTATTTTTTTATTCTTCTTAGACAACTTTGCTCTAGTGGTACACTAAATTTGGCTTTCTTAGCTACCTTTCAATAATGTTTTAGATCAAAATTAACTTTTTTTTTTTTTTTTCAAAAAATAAACAAACATTTGTCCAAAATTTTGATTAAATCACTTTGATACTGATGTATGAATTCTACTGGGAAATGTGATTCCCTCCCAACCTTTTTGTTTTTTAAATTTACTATAAAATATTACCTTTTAATCCTAATATATAAATTTAGTTATTTTTCACAATCACGTGTACAAGCTATACTAAGCTAGACAAGTTTATCGAATGGGCTCCATGTTTCTAATCTTTAAAAATTGTAACACTCACGTCCTTAATTAACTGAAAGTATTTATTTTAATGCTAATTGATAATGTGAGATTCACGTATAGATAAATTTTACTCTATTCAAATTTTTAAATAAAAGTTGAAGTCACCATATGGTTGTTTTTGGAATAAAAGAAGTATTTTTGGACAATTTTACCATTTTAGTTTGGTCATTTAACATTCAAATAAACGTTTCCCGTTGACAGGGATGTGGGTGCCACAATGTTATAAGTTTGGAGACTTGAATGCAATAAGTGGTAGCGTAGGGACAAGAATGCTACACTTGCAAAAGCTTGGGGACCTTTTTATATGAATTCTTCTATTAAATTGTTGAGCCGACAACCCATCCCTCTTCTCTCTCTGGCTCTGAAAAACCCTAATTCACCAATCAATCGATCCCTCTTCACTTTCTCTTTCTAAAATCTACACACTCTCTACAACTACATGCAACCATATATGTATCCCCATCGATCCATCAATTCCCTCTAAATTTCCATTTTTTTTTCACATTTCGATCTTCCCCTCGTTTTCATACTCCTAATCTATCTCGATCTTCAAAATTTTCCTTTTTTGATTAATTTCATTCTTAAACTTCTTAATTTTATTGGGTTTTGATTTAAACAGAAAGGGCACAAGGCTGGCGATTGGCGCCGGGATCAGGTGATGGCGGATCCGCTATGTGTCCGCCAGCAATTGGTGCTCCAATCGTCGATTTTTGCTTTCTTAGGTTTAGGATTAGAGTTTGGAACTAACGTAGGATTAGGGTGGGGAACATTGAATTCGCTAGAGCTTTCTGGAAAATGCTGACTGTGCTGCGGGTTCATCTTCCGTCCGATATTCCTATTGTTGGGTGTGAGCTGACACCGTACGTTCTGTTGAGACGCCCGGACAAGAATTCCGTTACTACTGATGATGTTTCCGAGTCCAATCCCGTGGACGGCCACTTCTTGAGATATAAATGGTTAGATTTAAATAGTTACTTTCCAAGAATTAGTTTTCATCTTAGATGTTACTTATTTGGATTGTGGGTTGTTTTGGTAGTGTTATGTTAGTTTGTTTAGGAATGTTTAGCTCTAGGGCTTGTAAATTGATATCTCAAGGCTAATTTTTTGAAATGAAGTTTTATGATTTGTTTTTAAAACTTATTTTCCCCAAACTCATTTTCAACCAAAACATTTCATGGACCCTCAACTTTTATAAACCTTTCAGCCACATATTTCATCAACTTTTATCAAAATTGATAAAAATTTAATTTTTAGCAAAACTAAAAAATGGGAAAAGTGTTTCTGCAGAGAAGCACACAGAAAAAGTACAGTAATTTGCTATTGTTATTTTATTCAATGCTTCATAATTGACATAAGATTAACTATGGGTGATTAATTGTTATTGTACTCATTTTGAACTTACTCTGGCATGGGGGATGATTAATTCCATTTTAAGTTTTAGAAACACGCGTCTCAACCTTGCATCATGCATAATCGGCATTCCGAGGACCTTCTATCTCAGTCCTGTATAGACCTCTAGAATTTATTTTTGTTATTATGTTGGTTATTATTTTTCAGTTTTATAAGATTTAATGATATATGTGTAGTTTTGTTTGTTAGATTTGAAACATTTTTTTATTGTTGGAGTCCAGCTGGGTGCTAGACTGTGTAACGTTGAATTGGTTCTGCCAAATAATTTTTGAGAAACAAATAAATTGTTTCTTTCAGGTACCGTATACAAAGTGATAAAAAAGTTGCAGTCTGTAGTGTCCACCCATCTGAGCAAGCTACATTACAGTGCCTTGGATGCTTGAAGGCCAAAATTCCTGTTGCTAAGAGTTACCATTGTTCTCCTAAATGTTTTTCAGATGCATGGCAATATCATCGTGTTTTACATGAGCGTGCTGCTAGTTCTGGAAATGAAAATGGAAATGAGGAGGAAGAAGTTTTTGGTCGTTTCAACAGTACAGGTAGTACAGGATCCAGCATGGTTAATATGAGCTTGTCTGGGTCTCAATCAAGCTCCAGCTTGACAAATGGTGCCACAACTCTGTATCCT